TAATGACAAAAAAGCAAAAGGTCATTTTCTTGCTAGACAGTGGAGCTCATTTCTGTCTTACCTTTCTCTCCTGGTCCCAGGTCCTATAACAAAAGTGATCATTTGGGGCAAATCTGGCCAGCCCCTAGAGTGCTAGTTTATCTGGCCTCTGGCCTGCTCTTGGGGAGACCTCCTCTTCTGTCACTCTTTCCTCATAGTACCTAAAACTCCAGTGTCCCTGCTGGGGTGGGATTTACTATCTTAACTAAAAGCTCAAATTCTCCTCACCCCAGGCAGCTATCTCTGCTGCCTTCTCCTTCAGGAACAAATAGATCCCACAGTGTGGACTGATGGGATGAGTGTAGGGTGAGCCTGGATGGCCCTCCCTATTTAAATAAAACTCAAAGGTCCCTCACTGTTTCCACACCAAAAACAACATCCCCTCAAGCCTGAGGAACGTGAGGCCTTATGCCTATCATAAGACAAGTGCTACTAATTAGTTGCTCCAGCCCCTATAATAAATTTAAAATTCCTAGTTAATCTTAAAATACAAGTTACAAAGTAAACAAGTAGAAAGGATATAGACAGGTATTGAGTATATTTTTTAAGAAGTTAAAGAAAAAAAAGGAATTTTTTTTTTTGGATGAGAAACGATTTTATAAAGAGGGTTTGTCTTAAAGATTGTTCCAAATATGAAGAGGAGGGATAAGGAAAAACCATCAAAGGGTTCAAAATATTATATAAAGGTCTGAGTAAATCTTAAGTGTATAATAAAAAGCTACAGTGTGTGATAAAGTTAAAGTACACTGTAATCTAAGAGTTGCCTAAAAGATTTTTAGGGTCATGTCAAACTAAAATCAAATTCTGCCTATAAAATAACGAGGTTATCTCAATATTGTTCTGCTCTAAGTAACATCTACAAAAAACTGTTATAGGGAAAGATTTTATCAAAAAATTACTTGTGTTTTCTGTTAATCTTGTCAAGCTTTAAGTACCACTAAATCAGAGTTCATTTATGTATTTGCTCATGTGTCTTAAATGACCACCTTATAACTGTGTGGTGTCTATACTTTATCTAAATATGGTACAAACATTTACAAAGTTAAAAGTGTCAATTTATATAAAATAATGAGCTAAAACTCTTTTATCCAAAAGTGTTACATTTAACCTAAATCCTGACAGCCCCTGCCTCCCACAGGTCACCTACCTAGGTATGTTCTTAAAGGGACAGACACACTCCCTGAGTCATAAGGGAATCAACCCAGTCTTCCATTTCCCACTCCCCCATACCATAAAACAGCTTAGAGCTTTCTTGGGAGTTACAGGTTTTGTAAAATCTAGATCAGTAGATATGCAGCCCTTACCAGACACCTTTTTATGCTTCTATTAATATTCCTATTTGGGTCTTGTATAATAAATGCTCTCTCCAGATTTATATCTCAACAGGTCCAACGGATCAAACTCCAGCTTTTAGTCAAGAAATACTCACCTCTGCCTAGGCATGAGCCCTCCATCCGGTTCTATGGGGCCCCTGGAAACTACACAGGTCAACCCCTGAGACAAGTACCCTCTCCCCTATCGCCCCCTCAGCACCCCATTGTCAGCACTGAAGCAGCTAGATGAGTCATCATCACTTCTCTCCCCAACAGCAGTTGGGTGCTTGTCTCAGAGGGGGGATTTGTTGGGTCTGGAGACCTAAGGCAGATGAGTGAGTATCCCGTCCCTCATGGAGAGCACTATCATTCCTGCATCCTGAGGAGATGGAGGCCTGCATTCCTGCATCCTAAAGCAGAGATACAGATCTGCCACAGGGCTGATGAGCAAAATGCTCTCAAGATTGTTTCCCCTCCCCCAATAAAGGTTCTAACCAAACCAGTTCACCTAAGAAAGCCCTTGAAATGCAAGGCCAATAAGAAAACCCTCCAACCCAGAGTTAAAATGTCCAGAAAAGCCCCAGCCTTCACCTGTGCAGTGAGCCACCAGCTTCCGGGCTCTGCTGCAGTACCTTAGCTGTAGCCTTTCCTTTCTCTCTAATAAATCCTACTTTATATACTGGCTTTGACTCATCATTCAACTGCCTCACGAGCCAGTTCTCTGGCCTATGAAGGCAAGGACCCTGGACACCAGCACGTAACACTTAGCTTCCTAGAAAGCCATGAATTTAATCTCTAAAGCAAACTCAAATTGCCCTTTCTTTTGTGGACTTCCCAGGAGATTGAAAGCAACAGGTTCTCTCTCAGAGACTGGTATTTCTGAAACCAGAAGTGACTTCTGAGAGGCCACTCATTTCATGCATCAGTCACCACAGCTATTGCTTCAAAGATGTGGTTCCAACTCAAACATCTGAATTTTTAATTCACCTATGCATGTCTTATAACCCTCTGTGTATTGCAACTCTCTTGAAAGCAGGTGCTCTAAGTGATCTCTGTATACAGCATGACATATTTCATGTGCTTTTTTTGGATTTTGAAGAAGTCAATGAATGTTTGTTGAATGACTGCACATCCTTATATTTGTTTTCCGTTCTCTGTACCTTCATATCTCCGTGTACAGTGTTCAGGCCAGTATCTGTGTAGACGCTGTGTGGTGCTAGTCAAAAAGATGGCATTAGAATATGGCCATTGTGAGGGTAGATTTCTTGACTAGACACTATAAAGAAACAGCCTTGAAGTCACCATAAACAATGGATTTCCCCTAAAAACTGAACATCTTAATTTCTCATTATTCTAGAGTCATCTTAACTGTCATGGAAAATGGCTATAGATCACATTCAATCTTTGAAGCATTTAAGTGGTAAATTAGAAGTAATTTTAAAAAGAGGAGCAAGTGGTGTTCTACAGAGAGATAATTCCTAATCTTCTCTTTGACACATTGAAAGATTTTTGCAAATTAAATGCTCCAAGTTTATGTAAAGAAATCCAAACATTTCAAGTTTTCCTGTGTGCTAATTAAAAGGGCTCTATTTAAATGGTGGAGCTGTCCCCAAACCAATGATAACTAATTAGAACCATAAAATGTTGAGCCTGAAGGGAGTTTATAATCTCTTTAATTTTGTAGGGAGGAAACAGGCTGTGCACTGTATGGGACTTACACACATCTAGGATCAGAGATATGGCTCCCAACACCTAGTCCAGGTTTCTTCAACCCCAAGAAAGTCAGCATTACTGTGGGTGTTTGGAAGATGCTGATTACTAATGAGGAAAACATGAGTAGTCTTTAGGAAAGTAAAACAGTGCTCTCTCCTGAAGGAAAGAAAAGAAATGGCTCATTCTTAGAAGTGTGTGTCTAGCCAGAGATGCTTGGAGGCTGGTAGAGGAGTCTCATGGTACAACAATGTCTGGAGATTTCTTACCATGAGCTAGGCACTATGTTCAGAATTTAATTATCATGAATTTGTTAAGCCACACAACAGGCTTTATGGGATTAGCATACTCTTTTTATTTTACAGATAAGGAGACAATTGGGACAGTTAAGTGGTTTGTCTAAGGTTACATACCAGTGTCGTTTACCAGTATGTGAACTAGGATTTACACTAGGTCTTTTAAGATACCAAGCCCATATTCTTAGCCAGAGATGACGTTTGAATAGAGGTCCCTTTGGGAGACATTGTTGACAACATGGGCCTCTTGGGAATCTCATTCTATGCTGCATGTGCTTATAGATTTATGTGGGTATCTGAGCTTGCCAGGAGAAATTCTGCATACCGGGATCAGCCTGAGCTGAACTGGGTTCTCAGCCCTGGGCAGACCCTATGACAAAGTGAACCTCCAGTGCTTTGGTAGGACAGAGTCACCTAGGATCAACCTCTGGGCTTATCAACTCACGTTCTAAATGCAAAGTTTAGAATGCTAAACTTGGAAGGACTATTAAGATTTAGTGTGATCTTCACATTTTAAGAAGGAAGAAACAGAGGTTCAGTTTGTGTTTGGTTTATGCCAAGCTGTGTTAGGAAACATAGTGGCTAACAGCAATGGGTTTGCACAGAGCCTAGAAAATCTAATTCTTTTTGGCTGTTTCCCTCCCCCATGGCTGTGGCAGGAAAGGTCATAAAAACCGATGCCCACTCCCATCTCCCACATATGGTGGGGACAGGGAGTAGAGAGCAGTTCCCCTAAAGAAGGAGAGTGGAGTCCCCAGGAGAAAGGAGGGAGGCTTGGTAACCAAAACATGTCTTCTCAGAAGTAAAACAGTGGCCTCACAGATATCTGCTGAAGAGAAGTTCAAAATGGGATGCCATACTTAAAAAGCACTTTATTATACAGAAGGGGGAAATTAAGTCATCATTAATTTTATTAGGAACGAAGTACCCTTAGCATTGATTGTCCTGGTAGCATATAAATTGGCATTTTGACAAATATCAATGTTGCAGAGAATACACTAGATGAAATGCAGCCCAAAGAAGCTAGTTCTAGAAGGTCCTGGGTCCATTTCTATCAAACCATCTCTTCAGGCCCTGCTTGTCAATTTTCATCAGAAGCCGCAGACTTGGGTGGATGCTTCTCTCGATGACATGTGATTAGGTGCCCCAAGGCAGGTGGTGACAGTTACCACACATTGACTCCTGCACCTTGATAAATTCTTCTGACAGGTAAGTTGCTCCAAAAATTCAAGGATGTAATTTAGGGTCTGAGTGTTAAAAGAAAAATAAGGCTCGCATATTTACAAATGCATTACACATTGACTGGGGCGGGGGGGATAGAGCAAAGAAGCCCCCGCTCCTCCACCTATGCGCACCTGGGTCAGGAGAACCTGTTGCTTCAGTGATGCCGGGGAAGAATCCCGGTCCTGCCAAGTCATTCAGCCTGCCGCCCCTCCTCAGAAGCACCCTGGACCCCTTTGCAGATCTGCAAGCAGGGCGGGTGCCACGTAGTCCCCTCCCCCACACCAGTCGCCTCTGACTTCTCCACTCGCGGAGGAAAGGCCTGTCCCCTCCGCCGCGGTGACGGGGAGCAACAGCTGCAGGTTGCTCAGGGCTCGCTCTCTGTCTCTCCTCTCTCTCTTTCTTTCTCTTTCCCCGCCCCCGCCCGGCCCCTGCGCTGGTGAGGGTGGCGCCCCCTGGCCAGGCTCGGGTCGCCGCGGCCCGCGGGGAGGGGCGGGCGCAGGTAGCTGGGCCACCGCCCGGGAGCGAGCGCGGGGTCGCCGCGGCGGGATGGGGCGGCTGGAGGCCCGCCGCCTTGTCCTGCTCGCCGCCTGCCTGGGGCTCTGCGGGGCGCTCCGAGGTACGCGCCCCACTCCCCCCTTCCCGGTCCCTGTCCCTTGCCCGGCCGCTGGAGCGCGTGCAGCCCCTGCTTGGAGAGGTGGGCGGGAGGAGGGCGCCGAGCAGGGAGCCCGGTCTGCGCTCCGATGGCCCTGGGAAGCACCGGGCCGGGTCGTCCCGTCCAGATCCCCGCTGCCACTCCCAGGCGGGGCGGTCGGGGGAGGAGACCGCTCGGCCTGCAAAACTTCCAGCAACTGCAGCCCCGCGCGGCCGGGCCCCTCCGCCCCTGGCCGGCCCGCCGCGGTGAGTCGAGTCGGGGCCTGCTCGGAGCTCCGCGGCCTGCCCCGAGGACTCGGAGTTTTAAAGGCGGCCTCCTGGTTGTACTCCTAGGACCGGAACGACGGCCCCTGCTGTCTTCCCTCCTGATCCTTTAGTTACGTCCCTCACCTTAGTAGCCCTGGCAGGAGATACGCGGCTGCACGTGGCCTGCACCGCTTTGGGGGTCTTCACCTCGTCGCGGAAATTCTTTGGCGACAGGTTCATAGTCTCTAAGTCCCTCCATGTAGGAGCGGAACATTCCTGGGTCCTATTAGGTAGAAGTTGCTTTAGGTGATTACTAAGAACGTAACTATTTAGACTTTGCACATGAGTGAGCTCCAGTACTTGGGCATTCCTACCCTCCATGGGTATTTGAAATTGAATTCAGTTCAACAAAAGACTCCCATACTCCTTTTTTTTTTTTTTTTTAAAGAGAACACATTCTAAATCAAAGGCTTTGTATCTCTGTAATATTCAGGTTAAATTCCGAAGACTTATTTACTTCATTCCAAGTAGTGTAAACCTGGTAAGATCGCTTGATTTCATTAGCTTTAATGTGCTGCTCCAGCCATGATCACCTTGGCAGTAAGCTACCCTTACTACCCTTCCCCTTGTTGGGGTGGTGAAGGAGGCTGATCGCACACCCCCTGCTCCTTGCTCACCTCCTTCTTACCTCCTGGTTCTTTTTCTGTTCGCTCTTGTCCCTCTCCTGTCTGTTCCCAGGTAGGATTGGACTGGAGGCTGGGGCTGCTGGGACTGTGACTTTGTGGGGGAAGGTGTGACTTGAAGGCTAAGGAGATCTCAGAGGGCAGTGAGTAGCCTCTTGGGACAGATTCAGTCCTGAAGGGTGGAGAGTCAGTTACCCAGATGGTCAGTGTAGGGTGATGGGAGGCCCATGGAACAGGAGTCATATGGACTAGTGCTTCTATCCTGATGATCTCTTACATTCTCAGAATGACTTTGGGCAAGTTATTATTCTAAAACTGAGATAATAATAGCTTCTTCAGAGAGGCTTGAATAAAATACGATGTAAGACTGCCTTAGAACACTCAATAAACACTCATTTCCATCCTGTTCTCATTACCCTCCCTTCCTCCCCTTCCGTGCAGTTCATCTGGGTGAGAGCCAGTAGGTTAGAATTCCTTTAGGGGTAAGGAATGTAGATTAAGACAAGGCTGTGGTTTCATGACAAATACTGTACACCAGAATGTACCTTGGGGTGCTTAGAAGAATATTTTCTTGAGTAACTGGATGTGTGATCTGAATTCAGTTTTCTTCCTTATCTCCTTGGGTGATGAAGGTTATTTCCTTGAACAATCTAATTGTGAGCTCTGCTCTCAGACCTTGAAGGACACAGGGTGATGGATGGTCAGCTTAGTAAGTCACCACAATGGGAGCCACCATTGTCTGGCAAAGATATTGTCTCAGTAAAAATATCTTCAGCATACACACCTAGTGCATTTCTATTTGGAAGTCAGTACCATTGTCACTGACCACTTTCTGAGATACATTGTACACAGAGCACTGCATCCATATTATCAACAGCTCAGTATTTCAATATTTCTATTCAACATTTCTAGTTTTGACTACCTTTGCATTAGATCTTACTAGTACTTTTTTTTTTTTGCCTTCTACCAGGGCCAACTAGGAGCTTGTCTGGGAAAAGAAAAGACCTGTTCCTTTGCATTAATACTTCCTACATTATCTGTATCTTTATCTATGGTTTGTTGGCAAGACTTTTTAAAGCACCTTGTATTAGTCTGTTTGCTGTAATAAACTACCTGAGGCTGAGTACTTTATAAAGAAAAGAGGCTTATTTAGCTCACAGTTTTGGAAGTTGAAAGTTCAAAATATCATGGTGCTGGCTGTATGTGAGGACCTCATGGCAGTTGGCATCGTGGCAGGAACCTGTGTGAGAGGGAGAGATCACATGGTAAGAAAGTAAGACACAGAGAGACTGGGGAAGGGCCGGTCTTTTTAAACAGTTGTTTCTATAGTCCTGCATGTGGTGTGTCAGGGAGTGAGAGGACGGGGGCACCTCAGTCAATGTTTTGCATTGTAGAGCTTACCCTCTTCCTTGGGAGACTTGTATGCCTCGTGGGTGAGGCATGAGGCTGCTTTGTACACCAACTAAGGTAGCACACCAATCAGTCTGGAAATTAGAGATGAAAAAAAACTTACTGTTTAATTATTTTTTTTTTAGATGACAACCACCTAGAAGTTCTAATATTTTCTTTTGGCACACCCTTTATCATTTGTGCACCAAAGCTGTGGTGCCCACATTCCCATGCTTTCAGGAGTCAGTGAGTCATAGTAAGTCACACAGCTGCAGGTGTGGCAGCTGGTGACATAGATTAGTGAAGACCATGTGGCTAGAGCATCCAATCCATGTGTGGCTGCTGTGGTGTGGGGATGAATGAGACCTTCCTAGGGTGCCTGGCATTCTGATTTTTCTAGAGAAGTAAAAAAATTCAGATTAGAATATCTTGGCTTTAATTTCCTCCTCTTCCTCCTTTTTTTTGATGGTAGTGGGGTTTGAGCTCAGGACCTCATGCTTGCTAAGCAAATACTCTACCACTTGAGCAACTCCACCAGCCCTTTTTTGCATTGGGTATTTTTGAGATAGGGTCTTACGAACTGTTTGTCTGGGCTTGCCTGAACTGTAATCCTCCTGATCTTTGCCTCCTGAGTAGTTAGGATTACAGGTGTGAGCCACTGGCTAATTGTTTCTTCTTAAATAGGGCTATATACAGCACATACAAAACAAACAACAAACAAAAATTCCTCAAACCTTTGCTCCTGGGACCTTTTAATCAAAACTACTATATTATTAGCCTCTGTATTCCCACCACTTAGTCCAGAAACCTATAAATAATAAGTGCTTAATAAATATAGATGACTGAATGATAGAACGCTGTAGGGAGTGTGGTAATAAGGAGAAAAATGACCCTTCCCCTGAACATTCGAGTTTAGATTTGCAGGACATGTGAATAGGTTGCTTTCTATGGCAAAGGGACTTTGCAGTTTGATTAAATTTGAAATTTTGAGATGGTGAGATTACCCTGCACTACCTGGGTGGCCCCTAACTATAACCCTGAGGATTTTATAACAGAGACAGGAGGGCCAGAATCAGGGGCTTTGATAAGGGAAGGAGAGGTCAAGGTGGCTGGGGACCACTAGCTAAGATGCACATTGGCCTCTAGTTGCTGGAAAAGGCAAGGAAAGAGATTCTTTCCCCTGGGGCCTCCAGAAGGCATGCAGGACTTGATTTCAGACTTCTGACCTCCAGGACTTGGAACATAATACATTTATGTTGTTTTAAGCCACTAAATGTTTGGTAATTTGTTGCAGCAAAAAATTTATGCAGGGATTTATGTCCTAGTAAAAGATAATTTAAGGGCCATCAAACTGTGACGGAAGCATAAGATGGTGGGTCACATCAGAGAGGAATGAGGGGCAGGAAGAGCTATCAGCTCCAAACATGGAGCTTTAGGAAGGCTCTGTCCCTGTGGTGAGAGAGCCTGACTGCAGCACTGATTGAAACTGGAGCCTGAAAAGCTCTCTTCCTATTAGTGGAGCAATCACAGAAGCACACAAAAGTCACAAGTGGAGCATCCAAGGTCTCACAGGCTGTGTGGCACAGGAGGCAACTGTCAGCTTAACCAGGGCAGACTGAATGGCAGGAATGCCTCACTGACAATTCCAGTGGCTGCTACTTGGGATAGCACCCCCCTGAGTTGTGCTGGGCCCAGGAATCCTCCATTCAGAGGGGGTGAGGGCCAGGGAACTGCTAGTTTTCTCTTTGTAACCTGAGTCCTAGCCCAGAGCAGTTAGCATAGAGGCAATGGGAAAATAGAGAAGTGAGAGCAATAAGCTTGGGACTGTAGATGGCCCTGGCTGTACCTGGAAACCCAAGATTTGTGCCTTCATGGTAGGCCTGGCCTACTACCCTCTGCTGTCAACTCTTCTAACAATGTCAGCAACACGCGTAGCATAGGATGTGGTGCCAGAGTTGTCCCTTGCTCCTACTCACTGAACATCTGGTCAACTGCCCACTCCGTAGCCACAAAGGAAATACCTCTTGGTTCATTGGGTTTCTATTCCATTTAATTTCAGTAGACATGAGTTTTGTGGCAGAGACTTCTAGAGTTATCCCTGTTAGGGATGACTTTCAATAAATAAAGGGGAATGGATCTCCTAGAGCATATTGGATGTTTGTGCCAAGTTATTTCTTACTTATAAAGTGGGCTATCTCTTGAATAACTGTTCAGCTTCAGTTTGACATCTGTTCAATATTGACACCATAGTAAGACACTGTAGAGATTGCTAAAAATAAATTTGTAGGGTAAAATGTGACTTTCTTTTCCAAGTGATATTACTAATCTCAAGTTACACAGCACCAGTAAGAGCGGCTTTCTAAGGCAGGACCTTCTCTTAGGAGTCCTAAGACTTAGGTCCCTCCTCTTAGGACTTTGTGTACCGCAAACAATTAAGCAGAGAGCTTTTGTTTTGGTTGTTTCTTATTTTAATGCAAAAAATAAGCTTCCATACTTAATGATGTCTGTAGAATATATTTGGAAGGACATTAATACATAAAATCACACAATATAAAATTAGCAAAAATTAAATTATAGAAAGGTAATTCTGATTTTCAGTGAAGGCAGACAGTTCCAAAATCTTTTCCAAAATACTTCCCTAATTTGT